CTGATGGAACAGAGAAACGGGAAGTAGCTCGAGGTGGGATGGGGAATGACATGAGTCAGCTGAGAGTTTTGGAAGGCAATATAAGGAAATACTTCTGATGTTTGTTTTGCTGGTGAAATGAGGTAGGTGGCCAAGCACAGCATCACTCATTTGGGTGCCACATACCAGGAAAGGTCTAGAGGGGCACCCGGCACAGGGGCAGGGCAGCCTGGGCCCCGGGGACCAAGGGCAGGCGTTTGGCTGAGGAAGGGCCGCCCACTTGAGCCCACATTTTGGGCCCATTGAGCGAGAGGTGGGGGCACAGCGTGGCTCACACAGCCATGGCTACGGGTGGGGAAGGGATGTCCCAGGCACAGGAGGGGCTGGCAGGAGGCCAGAGGGGCTGCAGTTTTACATTGTACATCCAGGGAGGAGAGTAGGTGGAACTCTGAGGTGCAGCTGTTAGGGCGAAACGACATGGAGGGCTCAGGGCACCAGACTGGCAAAGGCTCCTTACAGCCTCCTTTAACTCTCGGCCTTCAGGAGCCGGACCTACGACATGATCCAGTACTATCAGAACGACATCCCCTACTGACGATGCTGATGGAGCACCAGCTGCTGTGGGCCCCCCACCCAAGCCATTCGCAATCATGGAGCCCTGTGAGCCCTTCGTTGCCCCACCCGCCATGTGACAGTGAACTGCCAGCAGCCCTGTCATTCCATCCAATGGAGTTCTTTTTATAGAACGAAAGTACACCCTGCAGAGCCTGGCCACCGCTCCTTCCCCTGGCGTGGACCACGTGGCGTGAGACCAAAACGACAATCACCGAGGGCACTGTCTCTGCACGGGTGATACTTTGTTTGCACTGAACACATTCCCTACCTGTCTTATTTCATAGGTACATGAAGTATTTTCTTGTGTATTAAAAAATTATATTCAACTCACTATTTAACCAATGTGAAGAAAATAAAAACCAAGAGAAGTGCTGTTTGAATTGATGATCAGGTTCATTGTTTGGTCCCAAGGGCACATTCAGCTGAACAGTGATTCCTGGGTGTGCAGGGCAGAGAGTGGGACAGTGTTTCCTCAGAAACGAGGTGAGTCAGGGCCAGCCAGCTGTGGAGCCTGCACCCACAGGCCTTCCAGGGCCCCTCCCAGCTGGGCTGCCACCCAGAGGTGACTCACCACGTGCAGGCAGGTGTACGAGAGGAACCGCGTTTTCCCTAACTGCTCTCCAGCTCCAAAGCCTCTCCACTCGGGGCTCCTGTGGCCGCCACTGGCTGTCCCGTCCAGGTCGCTCCTCGGTGCAGGCATCCCTCAGTGTCCTGCTTCGCTCTCGTCTCTTCCTGCTTCCCTGTTGTTCATGTTCAAGTTCAAGTGCTCCTTTGTGCCACGAGCTCCTAGCAGCAGCCATCTACTCCCACTCACTGTGACCCTCTAATTAGTTCAAGCAGATAAGACCCGAAACAAAAAAAAACAAGACACAAAACATCTAGAAATAAGTCACTAAAATTAAAAATGCGAACGATTGGTTTAATAGCAGCTAAGATATAGGTAAAGAGCAAACTAATCAATGAAACAATGAAATTACAAAATATGAAGCAGAAAGAAAAGGAAAGTTGAATGAGAAGCTCCAGTCAACTTCTAGTGGGATTCCAGAGTTGGTGAAAAAAGCAGCCAATATGTAAGTTAAAAGAAACTTTTTAAAATACTGCATTAAATAGCTGACCTGCGTGGCTCAGTGGTTGAGTGTTGACCCATGAACCAAGAGTTCGCTGGTTCAATTCTCGGTCAGGGCACATGCCTGGGTTGTGGGCTCAATCCCCAATATGTGCAGGAGGCAGCCAATTGATGATTCTCTCTCACCATTCATGTTTCTCTCCCTCTCCCTTCCTCTCTGAAATCAATAAAAATATATATATTTTTAAAATTACTTTAAGTCAGACAAAAGAACCATAGGATTTCACTTATATGTGTGATATAAAACTGAAAGCCAGAACCCTAACTGTGTCGGCCTGCAGACTGAAAGGTCCCAGGTTCGATTCTGATCAAGGGCATGTACCTTGGTTGCAGGCACATCCCCAGTAGGAGGTGTGCAGGAGGCAGCTGATGGATGTTTCTCTCTCATCAGTGTTTCTAACTCTCTGTCCCTCTCCCTTCCTCTCTGTAAAAAATCAATGAAATACATATTTTTAAAAAAACTGAAAGCAACAAATGAACAAAACAAAAACTCATAGACACAGACAACAGTATGGTAATTAGGAAAAAGGAGGGGTAGTAGTAAAGGGGGTCAAATATACAGTGGGAAACAGAAGCACGAAGAAGCCACATGAGCCCTAACCGGTTTGGCTCAGTGGATAGAGCGTCAGTCAGCCTGCAGACTGAAGGGTGTCAGGTTTGATTCCGGTCAAGGGTATATGCCCGGATTTCGAGCTTGATCCCTCATGGGGTGTGTGCAGGAGGCAGCCAATCAATGATTCTCTCTCATCGATGTTTCTATCTCTGAAATGAATAAAAAATATATTTTTAAAACCTTTGCAAAAAGAGACAACCTTTGCAATAAAAATTACACCTATTTTTTGTTGTATCAGCAAATACAACATTATTTTTTGGTGTGTCACAGAATTTTAGTAATTAGTTTATGTGTACCATGAGATGAAAAAGGTTGAAAATCACCGGTCTAAACATCTAAGGAATAATGTCAATGTTGCATACTCTCAGAAAATAGAACACGTCCTAATTCACTTTTTATGAAGGTAGCATAGCCCTGATACGAAAACAAGACAAGAACACTCCAAGAAAATAAAATTATAGAGCAGCATCCCTTTCGTGGACATAAATGATGCCGAAATCTTTAACCAAATTGAACACAATGTATAAAAAGGACCATCATAACAAATGGGCCTTATCCCAGTAATGCCAGTTTAGCTTAGCATTCAAGAAGTAATCAGTTTGCCCTAGCTGGTTTGGCTCAGTGGATAGAGCATCGCCCTTCGGACCAAAGGGTCCCAGGTTTGATTCCAGTCAAGGGCATGTGCCGTGGTTGCGGGCACATCCCCAGTAGGGGTGTGCAGAAGGCAGCTGATCGATGTTTCTAACTCTCTATCCTCCCTTCCTCTCTGTAAAAAATCAATAAAACATTTTTTTTAAAAGTAATCAGTTTAATTCACATGAACAAACTAAAGGCACACCATATGATTATTTCAGTATGTGCAAAAAAAAAAAAAAACCCTGGACAAAATTCAATATCCATTCATAATAAAAACTCCAATAAACATAGGAGGAACCTTCTCAATCTGGCAATGGTCGTCTAAGAAAACAGCTAACATCTGGATGAAATACTTACGGAATAATGAAAAACTAAAGGCGTTCCCCCTTCAGGAGCAAGACAACGGTACTTGTCACCACTTCCAGTCTGCATTGTGCGGAGTGCTGGGCATTAATGCCAGCAGTAGTTAAGATTGGAAAAGAGAATTGTATTGGCTTCAGACAATAAAATTGCCTATAGAATCCCAAGGAATGTACAGAAAAGACCAAAGAATGATAAGGAAATTCAGCAATATCACAGTGAATATACAAAAGTCAGTTGTGCCCCAGCTGGTTTGGCTCAGTGGATAGACCGTTGGCCTGCAGACTGCAGGGTCCCAGGTTCGATTCCTAGTCAAGGGCACATGCCTGGGTTGGGGGCTCCATCCTCAGTAGGGGCATGCAGGAGGCAGCTGATCAATGATTCTCTCTCATCACTGATACTTCTCTCTCTCTCCCTCTTCCTTCCTCTCTGAAATCAATAAAAATATTTTTTAAAAGTCAGTTATATTTCTGTACGCTAGCAATGAACAGTTGAAAGATGAACTTTTAAAAATCCATACCGTTTTTTAATAGCATCCAAGAAATATCAAATACCGGTGTGTGGGGGGGTAAATGTAAAAATGTACAAGATCTCTACATTAAAAAATACAAACTTTGCTGAGGGAATTTTTTTTTAAAGGAGCAACATTGTGTTAGAGGATTGGAAGACATAATTATCCACAAATTCAGTATAATCAAAATCCCAGACTGACAAGCTCAGTCAAAAATGTGTATGAGAAAATGCAAAAGATCCTCACAACAAACCCTATGAGTCCCGATGTATGAATAGGAAAACAAAATATTTACACCAACTAAAATATTTCAAGTATAAGAATGTCTTTATGACTTACAGGCAAGAATGGATTTTTTTTAGGACACCCTGCACAATTCTTAAATTTGATAAAATTTGAAAATTTGATACACAGGAATGTCATAAACAAATTTAAGCCAAAAAAAAAAAACCCCAAAAAACTAGGGAGTCCAAATCAACAAGAAAGCAATTGTTTAAAGGCCATAGCAAAAACACTTGTGTGTCCGTACAAGGAGATACAAGGCACAATTTCACTACCAAAGAAAAACCAGAAATAAAATCAGAGCAGTGTTTTATCAGACAAGATGAAACGAAGGGTCGTCATTTCCTGAACAAAAAGAGCGAAGTGGCGAACACGGACACAGAAGCGGACTCCAGGGAGGACCGCCCGGCTGCCCTGCCTCTCAGAGAACCCGCCCGGAGAGGGATGCGAACCACCCCCCGCGGCCGCCGCCGGGGATGAGAATAACCACCCCCCCAGCAGCCGGGGATGCCAATCACCACACCACCACCCCTCACCACCCACCCCCCTTACCCCCCCCCGCCCCCGCCGCCGGGGATGCGAACAACCACCACCACCCACCCCCCTCACCCCCCCCCCCGCCCCCGCAGCCGGGGACGCGAATAACCACCCCCCGCCGCCGGGGATGCGAATAACCACCCCCCCCACCCCCCGCCCCCGCCGCCGGGGATGCGAACAACCACCACCCCCCCACCACCACCTTCACCCCCCCCCGCCCCCGCAGCCGGGGATGCCAATCACCACCACCACCACCCACCCCCCTCACCCCCGCCCCCGGCCCCGCAGCCGGGGATGCGAATAACCACCCCCCCCCCCCCCCCGCCGCCGGGGATGCGACCACCCGCCGCCGCCGGGCGAGGAAACAGACGTCCACAGAGACCAACCTGCCAGCTCCCTCCCGGGTCCGCCGCCGCCCCAGGCTCGCTCACTGGGGGGACGAGGCGGGTAAGAAGATACAGACCAACTTCCTGCGGGCCCCACACAGCAGCCTGCGCTGTTGGAAAAGGGTCTTCCCGCGGGGCGCCCGGAGGCCCAGGGAGTGAGCGCCGAGAGGGGGCGCCCTGCCCAAGCTGGAGGCCCTGGTCCGGGGACCCCCCGGTGCCGCGGGCGCCGGAACGGCCTCTCCAGCCCCAAGGTCCACCTGGAAGGCCCCGCGCCCAGAGGACGGGGTGCTGGAGCCGGCGCCGGGCCCCGAGCAGCTCAGGATCCACCCCCGGGGTCTCTCCCAGGGCTCCCCCCGACACCCAAAAACCACACGGGAGACAGGTGAGGTGACCACGGCCGACGTGATGGGTCCTAGGCGGGCAGCAGCCCGCGCGCGCGCAGCTCGAGCAGCGGCGACAGCGTGTAGCGCAGGCGGCGGAAGGCGGTGTCCGAGCCGAGGCGCGGCAGCAGGCGGCGGAGGGCCGCGGGGTTGACCAGCACCAGGTAGAGCAGCGGCAGCGCCAGGAAGCCGAGCGGCAGCAGCAGCAGCATCTGCAGCGCGCTCAGCGCCCACAGCCTGCGGGCCGGACCGACGGCGCGTGACGGACCCACCGGCCGTGGCCCCCCGGGGACTTGCCGGGGCCGGGCCCGAGCCCCGCGCTCCCCCGCCCGCCCCGCGACTCACCGGACGCCCGCACCGCCGAACAGGCGCTTCTCCTGCGGGAAGAGGAGCGGCGTCCAGCTCTACGCCCGCCGCGGGGGAGCAGCGAGGCATCTCACCGGAGGTGGGAGTCGCGGGGACGCGCGAGCGGGGGTCCCCGTGGGGGCGGGTTCAAGAAGCGGCTCGTGGGGAGGCGGCCCACGTGGGAGGCGGCCCCCGGAGGTGTGAGGAGGAGCCCCATTGGAGCGGACCTGTCAGGGCGGGTCCTCATGGGGAGGCGGCCCCGGTGGGTGTGAGGAGGAGCCCCATTGGAGCGGACCTGTCAGGGCGGGCCCCCGTGGAGAGGCGGGTCCTCATGGGGAGGCGGACCCCGTGGGTGTAGGTATCCCGGTGGGGCTGGCCGTCTCCCCCCCCCGCCCCCCCCCCGCCCGGGTGCACGCTCACACACTCGGCCTTGGCCACCTCCTCCATGAGGGACCCCGCGCAGTCCTGCACCCGGCGAGGCTGGGAGTTGTAGCTGCGGAACAGGCGTCGAGATGGGCGATGCGCCCCGGCCCCAGTCGCCCCGCCACACCCGACAGGCCCAGCCCCTTACAGTTCCTTGCTGCCTCGCGAGGCATCCAGCGCAGCCGCCGCCTCCATCACCTTCCCCTGCAGCTCCTGGGGGTGACCGGGAGTGAGGCCTCAGGACTGGGTGTGGCGTCGGTGGAGGGGGGGGCGGGAGGCGGGGGGGGGGGCGGGAGGCGGGCCGCCGCTCTGGGGGGAGAGGAGGCGGCGGTGGAGTCAGGCTGGTGGCTCTTAGGGCAGAGGGGCACCTGCAGGACCCCGCTCTGCTCCTGGAAGCTGGCCCACGCCTCCTCGGTCCGCTGTGCGCCCTGGGATGCGAGGAGCCTCGATTAGATTGGGGGGTCGGGGGCGGAGTGGGGAGCACACCCACCCTCTCCACTTTCCGGCGCCAGTCCAGCCTCCGCCCACGCGCAAAGCCGCCCCGCCCCTTCAGGCCCGACTCCGCCCTCACCTGCCGCAGGCCCTCCGCCTGCATCGCGTGCTTGGCCTCCAGTAACTCCAATTGTTTCTTCCGTCGAATACACGGAACGTCAGGAGCCTCCGGCCGCGCGTCAGGGCCGCGTCCCGGGCCCCCAGGACTCCCCACCCCCGCTCCCAGGTGGCCGTGGCCCCGCCCACGCCGCCGCTCCTGCCGTCGGGGCCCCGCCGCACCTGCAACGCTAGCAGCTGGGTGCCGAGCTGCTGCTGCTCTTGCTGCTGACTCTGCTGCTCCCCTCCGTAGTAAAACAGCTGCGGGGGGAGCTCTGTGAGGGCGGGGCTCGCAGGCTGGGGGTCGGGGTGGGATATCCTGGGAGGCGGGGACGGGGCTGAAATGGGAGCGGGAACTAGAGCGGGACTCCCTGGGGGAAGCAAGAATGGCGTTTCCGGATGTACCTGACTTGACAGCTCTTCCCACTGCTCCTGCAGCTGCCGATTGTGCTGCTCCTGCGGAGATGGAGGCGATCGGAGCCGCTCCCAAGTCCAGCCCTCGCCGCCTTCCCTGCGCTCTCCACGGCCCCGCCCCACCCGCGGCCCGTCCTCTCCAAGGGCTCCGCCCCATCAGGGCCCCACTCTCCCCGGAGGCACTGCCCCATGCAGGAGCCTGTCCGCACCAGGTCCTGCTTGCGCTGCTCCGCAGCCTCCAGCAGTCCGCGCGCCCGCTCCGCACGCTCCCGCGCTGCCTCGCGCGCCTCCCCGCCCAGGGCACCCGCCGCCTGGCTTTGCCTCCGCTGCAGGCTGAGAGGGAGAACAGACGGTGCTGCCGCGGGAGACGGCGGACGCTCCGGCTCCCGCGGCCCAGGGGACCCAGCCGTTGATGGGGCCGACGAAGCCCACGTCCCGGGCGCCGGACTCCACCCTCCCCTTCGTGGGTCCCCTGAGTAGAACGCCCCGGTCCCGACGGCCTAGAGCAGAGGTTCGGGCCGGGCGGGGCAGAATAACTGAGGGGCCGGCCGGACGCGCTGCGAAGCCCCGAGTGCTACCGGCCGCATGACCGACGGCCGCACACCCGCCCCGCGGGCCGGGGCCGCGCTCCCCGCGCACCTGCGCTCGCGCTCGCGCAGATCCTGCAGGCGTCCAGTGAGGCTCTCGCTCTCGGCCTCGAGCCCGCGCACCAGCTCCTCCAGCTCCTGCTTCCTCAGGCGCCCGTCGCGGTTGTCCTTCTGCAGCTGCAGTAACAGCTCCTGCGTCTCGGCCATGGCTCCCCGGGCTCTGCCCGCCGCCGCCGCTGCCGCCTGTCTCGCGGACCAGCAGCCCGCGCGCGCGTCACAATGGGCGGCAGGGGCTGCCCAGACGCAGGTCCCTTTGGGGAGGAAGATTCCCAGAGATTTTCCCTCCTCTCTCATGGGCCAACTGGGGCACTCACTCATTCCCAAGGCAGCCCCCAGTAAGTGGGAATGGAACCAAGAGGAAGGTATGGGAGGCCGAGGTGGGTGGGTGGGGTCTCACCGTTGACAGATGGTGCTGGGAAAACTAGCTCATGATAAAGAGAGAAATAAATAAAAGTGCGTCTCAAAAAAAAAAAAAAAAGCGCGTCTCTACTTCGCGTTCTATATAAAAAGTAACCCTAGAATGATCAGAGACTTAAGTGGAGAAGGAAGGCTTGAGACTTTGGTGTGGGAAACATTTCCTTAACCAAGACACAGCAAGCACAATCTCTGGAGAGAAAGTTGATGGACTCAATTATATCAAATTTGTGGATTTCTGCTGATCTAAAGATCCCTGGTGACAGCAATGCTCTGTCCTGTTTGGAAGTTGAGTACCTGAGTGTAGACATGGGCCCAAACTCATCCCACTCTGGCCGGGGAGCTCAGTTGGTGAGAGTGTCCTCCAGGTATGCCAAGGTTGTGGGTTCAATCCCTGGTCAGGGCACATACAAGAATCAACCATGAAGTCATAAATAAGTGGAACAAGAAATCGATGTTTCTCTCTCCCCAGGCACATGCTTCTATGAACAACTGCAATCCTTATATTCTCTAGAACGTGGCACTTGGGTCCTCCGTTTACGGTTGTTGAGTGTCCATACATCAGCCGGACGTCTGCTCTCATTCAAGGTCCCCCTGAATTTAATCCCTAACAGGTTGTAATATGGGCCACCCTCAGCAGGACAGCATTTTGGGGGGAAGGTGTGTGTTTGTTGCCTGGGGGGAATCAACCACATTTCTCTTCCAGATAAATTGTAGAGCTGTCTTGTCAAAATTTCCCAAGTATCTTTTGGGCCCTATATCAGGATTGCAAACAATCCCCTACATTCAGTCAGTCTATTAAAAGGGAAGAATGGCCCTAGGCGGTTTGGGTCAGTGGGTGGAGCGTTGGCCTGCAGACTGAAGGGTCCAGGGTTCGATTCTGGTCAAGGGCACATGCAGGAGGTGTGCAGGAGGCAGCTGATCAATGATTCTCTCTCATCATTGATGTTTCTCTCTCCCTTCCTCTCTGAAATCAGTAAAAATATATTTTTAAATAAATCAATAAGAATGGACACTTTCCACTCATCAATGATCTGCCCTGGGAAGAGCACTTCTGTCCAAACCTACAAGTCTTGTTTGAGTTTTTGTCATTTTCAAAAAAGTTCAGCACATTTATCAAGGTTTTGCCTGCGTAGTTTTTCTGTTACTATTATGCAAAGGCTCTTTCTTTAAAAGACAAGTCGTGACATACGTGTGCTATGGGTTGAGTTGTGTCCCCCTCCAAATTCATCTGTTGAAGCCCTAAGCCCCAGCACTTCAGAGTGGAAATAGGGCCATTGTAAGCATTGGTTAAGATGAAGTCCTATAGCAGTGGGTGGGCCCCGCACCCAGTGTGCCTGGAGTCCTTATAAAAAGGGGAGGGTGAACACAGAGACACAAGCAGGAAGAATGCTGAGTGAAGACGGAAGCTCTGCTGCCTCCCACCAAGGAACCACCAGGGCCAGGAGAGAGGCGGGGACAGGCCCAACAGGCCTGTGTGAGGCACTGAGTAGGTGTGGGCACTTCCTGTTGGCTGTCTAGCAGTGAAGTCCCTCTGGCTTGGGGACTTGCTTAAACTGTGGGGGCAACAGCAACAGTGGCAGTGGTACAGCCTTAGACCCCGTGCCTCAGTTTCTCTATCTGTAAAGTGGGGGGCTATTACTAGACCAGGGGTGGGCAAACTTTTTTACTCGAGGGCCACAATGGATTCTTAAACTGGACCGGAGGGCCGGAACAAAAGCATGGAGTGTTTGTGTGAACTAATATAAATTCAAAGTAAACATCATTACATAAAAGGGTACGGTCTTTTTTTTTTTTTTTTAGTTTTATTCATTTCAAACCGGCCGCGGGCCATAGTTTGCCCACGGCTGGCCTAGACTCTCCCTCATGAGGTTGAGGGAATCAATGAGGTCACATGGTTAAGGCTCTGAGCACTGAGCCCTGCACCACCTCGGCCTCGAGCCAGCCAGCTCCAGCACTAGGACTCCCACAGGGTGGCGGCTGAGCAATGGAAAGTAGCTGGTCCCCCTGTAAAACACTCATCTCATTAGTAATGTTTATATTGACTATACAGATTGAAATATTTTTAGTGTATTTGATCCAATTGAAGTTCCCTTTTTCTTTTCCATTTTCCTGTCGCTGCTGGAGAATATATGCTGACGAGGTTGGGTCTGTCAGTCCTTGGAGGGCGCAGTGCCTCCCATGCCCTGTGGTCACTTCTCTCTCCAGACCCAGCCCAAATGGTCTCTCGCCGTGTAGTGTCCCCAAGATCCCCACCACCCACATGGGGCAAGCATCATGACCTTGTTTTTATAGATGGGAAAACCCAGGTTCAGCAATGACAGTGGCAGCCCAGATGCCCTGACCCGCTAAGTTCAGGAGAGAAGCTGGAAGTAGTGTCTACTAGCCATATGGGCCATGGTACTGGCCGACCTCCAGGTAACTTTTCTGCAGCTGTGGAGGATGAGCTGTTGGGTGCTTCTGGGCATGCCTACAGGGCAGGGGTGTCCTCCAGGGCAATCCAACCCCTCCCACCCACACCCACCCTCCTATCTGCATACGGAAAATCTCTTCAGGGTAAAGCCAGGAGCTAATTATGTTGTTCTTAACCCAAGCTGCTTCCCCTCCGTGGCCTGGAGGTAGGGGGGGATGGGGCATGGGCCACAGTAGTCATGGAAACAAACCACCCTGGCCTTGGTGCCTCTGAACGCTGCCAGGAAGCAGCTGACTGGGGTCTGATTCCTGCAGCAGCCCTGCCTTTGCATCCCCAATTCCCACCGGAAGCACCTGCCTGTCTCCCCAATCAGCCTGTGTGGCCCAGGTCTGCCCCTTCAGGACTCAGGTTCAAAGTCCTCTCGGAGAGCCACCCTTCTCCCCCAGTCTCGGTCAGGCACAGTCTTTTCCCTGGGTGGCCATGTTGGCTTCCTAGGCATCCACTAGGGCAACACTGGTCTGACTCAGAGCAGAAGGGGGGACAGTGTTGGCTGAAGGACCATCCTGCATACCCTAGAGCAAGCATGTCAAACTCGTGGTCCACAGCCTCATGCCTCATGTACTCGGCCTGTGTCAGCCTTTGAGTTTGACATGCTTGCCCCTAGAGATTTCTTAATGTCTTGGTACTTTCAAAATTATACTCGATTATAAATGAATAGCCTAGGACAGTGGTCAGCAAACTCATTAGTCAACAGAGCCAAATATCAACAGTACGACGATTGAAATTTCTTTTGAGAGCCAAATTTTTTAAACTTAAACTATATAGGTAGGTACATTGTTATTAACTTAATTAGGGTATTCCTAAGGCTTAGGAAGAGCCACACTCAAGGGGCCAAAGAGCCGCATGTGGTTCGCGAGCAGCAGTTTGCCGACCACGGGCCTAGTACATGTAGATAGCATTTTCCTCAACATTTATGAATGTGAAGAATTTAACTAATTTATGAACTTATGAAAATGTTCAAACATATAGAAAAACAGAGATTTTTAGAAGTGAACCCCAGGAAAGCCAGCACCTAGATCAGCCGTGGGCAAACTACGGCCCATGGGCCAGATCCGGCCCGTTTGAAATGAATAAAACTAAAAAAAAAAGACCGTACCCTTTTATGTAATGATGTTTACTTTGAATTTATATTAGTTCACACAAACACTCCATCCATGCTTTTGTTCCGGCCCTCCGGTCCAGTTTAAGAACCCATTGTGGCCCTCGAGTCAAAAAGTTTGCCCACCCCTGACCTAGATCCACAGTTGTGGGTCCCCTGCTTCCTGGCACATCCACCCTGCTCTCCACTCCAAAGGCAGCTGTGGAGTCAGTCAGTCCATGCAAGCGACCCACTCCGCCCTAGTCTTTATGGCTCAATGCAGTAATTTCATGTTTATTGCACAGTCTTGTGAGAACATCTATATGATGCTAGGAGCTCAATAAATGTCTGTTGAGTAAGAAAAAGAACAATTATAAAATCTGTGTTTGAAACTTTTGTACAATAGAAAAAGATTTTTCACTATGACATATCCAATAATGAAGGTGCTTCCATGTAAGGAATTCTTTGATAAAAAGGGTTATGTGGCTTTAAGCAACAAAAACCCATGCACTTACAGAATAAAATAAAAATCTCAACTTGTTTTGCTCTCGGCATACAAAGTCCCCCAATGTTTGGTTCTGCCCACCTCCTAGCCCAGGGGTGGGCAAACTTTTTGACTCGAGGGCCACAATGGGTTCTTAAACTGGACCGGAGGGCAAGCGTACGGTCTTTTTTTCTTTTTTTTTAGTTTTATTCATTTCAAATGGGCAGGATCCGGCCCACGGGCCGTAGTTTGCCCACAGCTGTCCTAGCCTCTTGCCATTTCCCCCTACAACCAAAGTGAACTCCATTTTAATCCCCTAAGCAATCCAACTAATTTTATGTCCCAGTACTTTTCATACACTGATCTGTACACATGGAACAGCCTTCCCTTGAATCACTGCTCAGACATCACCTTCCCTGACCTTGGTCTTTGTGGTCCTGCTTGACCAATTTCTGCCATAGCTCTTGTTTGTTGTTGTTGTTGTTAATCCTCATCCGAGGATATATTTCCATTATTTTTAGGGAGAGTGTTAGAGGGGAAAAGACAGAAACATCGATTTGAGAGAAACACATCAATTGTGTTTCTCCCCAACCAGGGCCCAGGCAGGGGAGGAGCCTGCAACCAAGGTACGTGCCCTTGACCAGAATCGATCCCGGGCCCCTTTAGTCCACAGGCCGACGCTCTTCTCCACTGAGCCAAACCAGCTAGGGCGAGGGTCCGTTTTTCTATGAAAATCCAGTGACAGAGCAGTCACTTCTGAAGATCCAATGATGAGTTTTCTTATTTTCTCTTTTTTGTGTACCCGTGTTGCTTTTTAGGGTCATTTGTTGCTTTTATAATAAGGAAAGTAAATATTTGTAACTGGGAAAAGCACTGCAATATGTTGAGAAAGGTAGAAGCTACC